ACTAAGCCACATTGGTTTTAATTTGTTTCTTTTATATTTATTTCCCAATGGTACCTTTCTAATATTTGTTGGAAGATGATCCATTTATCCTCAGTGTTCTTTTCACTAAAGAGTTTATGCCAATCAATATGTTGTAAAGCTTCCCTTAACTTATTGAAATTGGCCTTTTTAAAATTATATGTTTTAGTATACCCCATGTGCTTTTGTTTTTTTGAGCTTATTTCAAAGGACACTATATTGTGATCACTATTTCCCAAGTACTCACCTACTTGAATGTTGGTCAAAAGATCAACGTTGATTGTTAAAACCAGGACCAGACAAGCATCCATTCTAGTTGGTGCTTGTACAAGTTGTGACATGAAGGTGTCATTTAACAAGTTTAAAAACCTAATTCCCTTTGCTGAGCTACTAGTCCCTCTGTCCCAATTTATATCCGGGTAATTCAAATCTCCAATAATTAAAGTGTTACCCAGATTTGCAGCTTTCTCAATTTGCTTAAACAGCTGTTGTTCCTCGTCAATATTAAAATTAGGTGGTTTATAACATATGCCAACCAATAGTTGGTTTCCCTTCTTTTCCCCCAAGCAGATATTTACCCATAAAGCTTCCACATTTTCCTCATCGCATTCCATTTGCTTAAGATTTGGCTTTAAATCATGGTTGACATACAAACATACCCCACCACCCTTCTTGTTTTTCCTACCCTTCCTAAATAATACGTACCCATTTAAGTTAACTGCCCAGTCATGTGTCTCATTCCACCATGTTTCAGTTATGCCTATTATATCATATTGTTTAGTGTATGCTAATGCCTCTAGTTCCCCTATTTTATTATTTAGGTTCCTTGCATTAGTAAGCACACATTTAATATCATGTGTCACTTGTATATTTTGTGAATTATCAACCTTACATAGCTTCTCTGTTCTGAGCTTGCCCCTCACCCCGTCTCCACCCCCTTATACTGTGCTAAAGCCCATCTCCTTTCTGTACTATCTCCATTTTGTAGATTGCTATGACCCTCCCGCCCTACTACTACTTTAAAATCTCCTCCAACCTTCTAGCCATCCTATCCCCCAGCACTGCAGGCCCTCTCCCGTTTAGGTGCAATCCATCACTACTATAAAGGTTGTACCCAATCGCAAAGTTGGACCAGTGCTCTTAAAACCCAAAACCCTCCTTCCTGCACCAAGACTTAAGCCACGCATTGACCTCTCTAATCTCCTGCTGCTTTTCCACTGTAGTGCGTGGCACAGGTAATATCTCAGAGAATACACCTTGGAGGTCCTTTTCTTAAGTTTGCTACCTAATTCCCTTAAATCATTCTTTAGGACCTTCTATCTTCCTCTTACTTTGTCATTGGTACCAACATGGAGCATGACCGCTGTGTCATCACCAGCGCCTACCGATAATCCATCCACTCTGTCAGCAACATGCCAGACCCGAGCACCCGAGAGACAGCAAACTGTCTGGTTGAGCCGGTCAGAGTAGCAGATTGCCCTATCTGCTCTCCTAATGATAGAGTCCCCTACTACCACAACCTGTCTTGCCTTCCTTACATTTTGATCCCCACCCGTACTAGGGGGGCTGCTAGCTCAGCTGTTAGAAGTAACAGCTTCCTCTAATACAGCTACTCCTGAGCTGATGCTCCCAACATCTTCCCTCAAACGGGCAAATCTGCTAGGTTGCACCAAATCAGGACTAGCTAGCCCTTTCCTCTTCCCTCCCCCCCCTGCTTCCTCGCCCCACTGTCACCCAGCTACATGCCTGTTCCCCATCTGTCTTATCTCCTCCCTCTCCACTACCTGTCCCCACTAAACTCTGCTAAGTGAGCAGCAGACTCCTCTCTAGATCGTCAATCTCCCTCAAAGTTGCGATTTGCTTCTCAAGATCTCCAATCTGAGCTTCCAGAGAAGCCACTCGCACACAACCATCACAGAAGTATGGACCCTGGATGGGTACATCCAGGCATCCATAACTTCAACTTCAATTAGAAGACATACAAATAAGAAATAGATCAAAAACATTCTTTCTGCAATTTATGGAGCAAAGTCCCTGCTCATTAAGAGCATTGGAAAGTAAAATTATAAGCACCAAAATCACTTCATGTTGATCAAATGACTTTGGAGCATAAACCATACCTCCCAACTCTGCAAGCACTCTAGTTATCAGCCTATGGGAAGAATCCTTTGGTATTAATATGGGTTCATTCCTTGTGTGTCTATTTTACAATGCTGCTAATAACTTGGTGCTATATAAGTACTAAATAAAAAAATGATAATATTAATTGGACAAAAGTCATCAATCTTGATAACATCATAGTAGGAAGATGAGAGACTGAAGCAAATGGACTTGTTTTTGATAATCTTCCAGACATATTCTTTAAGTATATTCCTAATATTGATCTAATTCTGATATTTTTCGATGCAGAAACTCTAATTCAGTATTCATTCTGGGTAATTTGGTGCTTTCTTCTTATGCAACCTTATAGATATATATTTGTGGGCATGTTTATATCTCGTATTTTTTGTGATTTTGTTTTCTCTTTTAAAAAAAAAAAAATAAAAAAAAAATATATATATATATATAAATGGCTGCATTCAGTACAAATCCAAGCTTTATTTCAGAAAATATTAAAATGCAACCAATGTTTTAGTCCTTATTTGGGACCTTCATCAGGGTAAAACAAATAAGAAAATAATATTTGCCCACAAATAAATATCTGTAAGGTTATATATTTGTTGACATGCTTGTATATTGTTTGGAATAAAGAGTCCACTTTTTATATCAAAAATTGAAGACTGGTGAGTGCCTTCTTTTGTTTAGTGCTGTGTATCAGCCATGACTGCAGCACCGGGGTACAAGATTGGGATTTATACATATTGCTGTTAAGCGTGTTCCATGGCATCTAAGGTTTGTTTTATATATAATATATTCTTATGTTCTTTTAATGTGGAATCACTGATATTAGTGCAAGAAGGACCCCAGGGTACAAATATGTCAACCCAAAACCATTTTAACAAGTGAAACTAAATACAGATTTTTGGTATCAACTGCTCTCAGACAAAATGCCTGTATCCAATTTAGGGCGGCTTTGACCCTCGTACATCTCAGTGTCAGGTACCCTGCCTCTGTGCCGCTCGCGGTGACTTAACTTGCCCCGTCACTTCGAGTGTTGTCCTCTGGTCCCCGTCTGCTACTTGCGGCTGTTCCCGCCACCGCACTTCCAGCCAGCAGTGTTTCTGATACGTTTCCTTATACGTGTGCCTGACTCGGTCACATGACCCGGCACACAGTAATGACATCAGAGATCACACTGGAAGGACTAAACACCTTCCACGTGTTGTAATCAATACTATATGGAAATTATCCAACCAGAAGCACCCTCTTCACATTTAAGCAAGCCTCCCCCTTACCTCAGTTCCCTGTTGTGGTCTTTGACAGCCCAATAGCGCGTTATACTGTGTCTGTTTATTCGGTTACCGAACTTTGGCTTGTCTAACGTTTACTCTGTCTTCTTTGATCCTTGACCTCAGCTTGTCATTGCGTATTCCGTCTCTCTGTTATCCTTAACTTCGGCTTGTACTCTGACTATTCTATCTCTTTGCATAGCATTCTAAGGACTGGTATTGCAATTTTGTATGTCTGTGACCTCTCTGAATGTTTAGGTTCCCCTGATAACCGTGACACTCAAGGCTATTAACTAATTAATTATTGTAGAGAATTGTGATGTGAATAGTAATTTGTACCCAATATAGCAGTGCTTGAAAATACAGGAAAGAATCTTAAAATTTAGGATTATTTATGTATATATAATTAATCCCTTAGAGTCGTTACCAAAAAAACCCCACAGAATTTGTGTTTTCCATGCGTTTTTAAAGTGGCTCTGTCACAGTCAGGGATATTGCATATTTTGAATGACCTTTCGATGTGAAATCCCTGCCTGCTGTGCAGCGACCTGGGGGTTGAAGCCCCAAAATTTTTTATTAATCTAATGCTGTCTCTCATGAGTGCAGTCATCTTCTGTCTTTAACTCCGCTTTTTTTCAGATCAATCTGCATAATTTTTAGATTTTTGCATTTTTATTCTTTTTTTCACTTGATCTGTGAGCCAAATATATATATATATATATATATATATTTTATTCTTTATTTTTCTTGTACGTGTGAAACATACAACATTTGATCTTACGGTGCCACAACAGCATCCACAAGTGTATTATAAGCAGTTAGTTAACATGGCATGTGAGGGGTACGGCACATTTTTTTTTATATTGACAAGCAAAACAATGAAAGATTATATTACACAAGATTTCAGATAATTCACGAGTTGTCAGGCTAAATGTTAACAGAAACAATCACACAGGTTAAGATCAGGCTAACTTGGGTAGCAGCAATTTGTCAATCCCTACATCAGTGTTGGTATATGTATTTGCTTACAGGGTTAACGTTGGAGTATCAGCAAGCTTAATGAGAATGGCTGAACTGGACTGATGATCCACTGCTATGTAGTGTGGTGTGCCTGTGAAATGTGATTACGCTGCATGAGCTTAGTGTAGTATTGCTGCATGTGTGCCTGCGTGTAAGACCATGTAGGAAGTTTACAAGTAAGGAACATCAGGCATAAGGAAAATTCTCTTAATTTGTCAAGTAATTAACAAGTGAGCACATGACCACTGGAGTTGAGGCTAAGACGAGCTAAGTGGCAGCAGTGTACTATGGAGCATATGAGGTCTGATGCTGCTTTTGATTTACATGAAGCCAGTGTCTCTGACAAGGTCCAAGCGTCCTGGGGCTGCAGGCACCACTGTGTTTGCACTGCCATTTGTGTCACCCATTCCATCTGATCTTGTAGCCTGGGACATCTGGGGTGTATTTATTGCAGATCTGCAGCGCTTGCTGGCGGTGGTCTGCTCCTTCATCCCCCTGACGCTTGGTGTCTGCTTCTGTTCGGGTGGTATAGCGATTACCACACCTCCGGCCCCCGGCTCTTGATGTTTCAACTTTGGGGGCTCCCCACCCGGGAAGGTGGTCGTGGAGCCAGGCTTGATCCGTGAGTGGGTAAGTAGGGGCTTGTCAGAGGGTCGGACGCTTGTCTGCTGGTTCGGGCTCCGTGGCCCATGGTGTATGCTGCTTATTGCATGCCGAGCTGCTTGCAGGTAGATGCAGATGCGATTCTCGGCTTCAGTTGCGTCTCTGCCATTTTGGCGCCCAGGCGTGGGATGCGCAGTGTTAGGCGGACTCGGAGGGTCAGGATTGGGCGGTGGTTCCCTCCAGTATGGACCGGGATAAACCCCCAGTCCATGGGGGGGAAGCAGGGACCCATGAGACACATCACTGGCAGCCAGGTTCTGACACGGGACGGCGGCCGTCCGCCCCACTCGTCACCCACATAGGCCGCAGGCCCTGAAGCCTCGCATTTCCCCTGGGGCTGCAAAACTTCCGGTCTCGGGGACCGCAGTGGCAACGGCAACCACCTGGACATGAGAGGTGGCCTCTTGGCTCTGAGACAGGCTTTAAGCTTGGCCTTTTCCCCCAAAGTAGGCCAATTCCTGCAGGAGCCTCTCCAGCCTGCGACCGGTCAGCATGGCGGTCCCGCCCCCCCAAATATATGTATTTTATGTGTATATATATATATATATATATAGTGAAAAACTAAATTGTTATGGTGGGGAGAAAATTGTGATTAAAAACCCCTTCCACCTGAAGTCTGTGGATAGTTAATACAATGTTAAACAAAAATCTGCACACCAGTCAAGTCATAAGACTTTTCCCACAGAAATTACAAATTTGCAGTGATTTCTATGGGAAAAGCAAGTCTTATGGCTTGACTGGTGTTCAGATTTTTGTTTAACATTGTATTAGTAATATTTATATATATATATATATATATATTTGTGTTAGGTGCTCATGATAGTACAGAGTAAAATACTAATCCTAATTAAAGGTAGGATAGTAAAAGGAGGGTCATTCAACGCTGACTTCAAACGGTAAGGAGCAAGGTAAGGGGTGTGCCTTAAGTAGGCTAGGAGTGGATACCAAGCACCTCCCACAAATCCAGGCAAATTGCCTTAATACTTGTGTTAGGTGCTCATGATAGTACAGAGTAAAATACCATAATTAAATGTAGGATAGTAAAAAGGGCAAGTCGGTTGTGGTGTGTCGGAACCGACAATGAGGTAGGCCTGAGAAAGAAGAGGGCAAAAATTAAGTAATCAAATTTATTACAGACAACCAATACAGATACATTTATCAACCAGACATGTTTTTGAAAGCATTCCTTAATTCTTATACTGGGTTCGGTATGTATCGTGAGTAGGCGAATTACTTCCAGCGCCCCAGTGTTTTTATAACATGGACTGGAATGTTGACACTGGAGGCTGAGGACGCTGCTCCTATGCGGAAGGAGTGCCATGAGTAGTTAGCTGCTTTGAGGCCCAGTTGAATGAGCAAAGACCTGACGTAGGTCATGAAGGTTGTAGTGGTGAGTACCGAACTTTGTAATAGTAGTAATGGTTGTGATGGTATTGAAATATGATGCTGTAGGTATGCATCCAGAACCTTGATTGGGCACCACTTGTTGTGCGTGGGGTAGTATGGAATGTTTACTGGTATGTGCTGGCTGGTTTTGGAGTGAGGTAGTGTTAGGATGTAATGATCCATGTGTTTTGTTAAGTGGGAATAGAGGAGAATAGGAGAAGATTGTGTTATGTTGGAGGTAGTAAACTCTCTAGGTCTTAGAAATCCATAGAAAGCTATGTATATTGCTGATTTTATGACAGAATTTGTATTGGTGTCAAAAGGTTTTAAATCAAACAGGTTAGATAATGCCTTGAAGATATGGTTTTCTATGGGTAGCCTCTGTGATGTACGTGTGGGTTCAGATTTCTGATTGCCTCTGAGTATGGTCTTGATCTGGTGAGAGGCCATGAAACTAGTGTTGTTAGGTTGTAAGATTAGCATATGGTGTTGAATGCCTGTGAGATAAAGTTTGATGGTGTTATATGACATTTTAAGTTTAAGGCGGCAAAAAGAAGCAAAACCCCAAAAAGATGTCATAACAAATGGTTGCATGATGTTATGTTCCAAAAGGAATCTTTTGAATAGTGTAAAAGCCCTGTCGTATGTTTTGTGTGTATTCTTTGACAGTGCCAATTGGGACAGTGTCCTGCTATGATGCATGATGATGTCTAGTCCAGTATTAGTTGTTGAAATGTTGGAGTGGTAGTGGCTGTGAGCGCAGCTGACGGGAGTGCTTGATGAAATGCCTGAAATTTAAAACGAGACAAACTGTCAGCAGCTGTGTTACATATTCCTGGAACATGGAAACAATATATAAAGAAATTATGACAAGCTGCCAACCACGTGAGTTTCCTCAGAAATCTCATGATCGTAAGGGATTTTGAGCGACCTTTGTTGATGATGTGACAGGTTGCCTGGTTGTCTGAGTAACAACGAACTGGCATGTTTGCCCATAAATGACCCCATGCTACGGCAGCCGCCACAATGGGATAGATCTAAAAAGAGAGCTGAGGTAGTGGAAAAACCTTCCAAATCCTGAACTGCTGTAGGCCAGCTGCCCCAAAGCCATTCGTTCCCAAAAATTGCTGCAAAACCTGTAGTAGATGCTGCATCTGACCAAATAGTAGGTGATGAGTCAGTCAATTGAGGGAGGAACATACTTTTACCATTCCAAGTGGTTAAAAATTCCTTCCACATGCGTAAGTCTGCCGTAGCTTGGTTATCTAAGGACAACCTGTGGTGTCGTGTAGGAAGCATGGAAAAAGATACAAGAGTCGTGATATGAAGGAGCGGCCTTGAGGTATAATACGCATGGCAAAATTTAGGGACCCCAGTAGAGACTGTAGCTCTTTGCGGTTGCAAGTACCGAGCTGAAGGTAGCGGTTGATGTAAGTGAGAATGTTCTCTATCTTGTCGTGTGGTAGGCTTGCTTGCATTGTGGTTGAGTCTAATTGAATACCCAGGAAAGTGATAATCGTGTCTGGCCCCTCCGTTTTCTTAGGGGAGATTGGTACACCTAGCCGCTCGAATAGCTTGGTGGTAGCTTTGAGGCTACTAGGAGGGGAAGTATTTTCCTCTACCAGTAAGAAGTCGTCCAGGTAATGTAATACCGTAGGGCATCTGCCTATGTTCAATAGTAACCAGCACAATGCTTCTGCAAATTTGTCGAAAATAGCTGGGCTACTTTTAGACCCAAAAGTTAAACGGGAGAAAAAATGGTAGTTCCCGGCCCACTTGATTCCATGCAGGTGCCACAGTGTGGGGTGGATTGGTAGAAATTTAAAGGCGTTAGTGATATCAGTCTTACTAAGCCAGGCTCCGACCCCTGCTTGTATGATTGCTGTAATGGCGTGATCTATGGTGGTGTATTGCAGGGAGAATTCCTCGGAGTGTATGAGGGAATTAAGACTGGGGTTGGCCGATGAGTGTGGTGCAGACAAGTCAATGATGAGTCTCTGTTTAAGGGAAGATTTCCCTGTGACAATACCAATGGGGTTAGTACGCCATTCTTTGAATGGAGGAGCTTTGAAAGGCCCCAATACGAAACCCTCAATGACTTCTTGGGCTAAGAGAGTGTCAACAGCTGTGGGATTATGTTGTACGGATTGTAGATTAGGGCATTCCAGAGTCCCGGATGGTATGTGTAGAATACCCGTGTGGAAGCCTTCTGTTAAACCAGAGATAAGAAAGTCCACCAAGTGTTTAGACGGGTGATGTGACATAAATGCAGTAAACACCGGCATATTAATGGACATGAGGTAAGGCTTAGAATACATTTTATTTGGACACATGGTTTTTGCATGTGCCCTAAAACATTTTAAACAGATATGCAATAATCTGCAACCGCTAAAATTACAAGACCCAACATTGAAATTATTACATATCTGGGACTTGCCCAGGAACTTGATCGGGCGTCCCAGTTTGTCTCTGGTCACTTTCTCTGGGACACCAGAGGAACTAGCTCCTTGCGTGGAGGCATGTTCATCAGCCGTGTTGGGACAGAAGTTTGTCGTATGGGCTGTAGAGGAGCAGTATGCACAAGCCGGTGTTCTCAGACCTGCAAAGTGTCTGCAAAATATGACGGTATCTATCCTTCCCCAGTAGGATCTTGTTCCATACTGGGAGAACGCTCCAGACACTTTTGCAGAAAAAGACCTATGGTAGTCTACCAGCTTGTGCATATAAAGATCAAACTCCTCTCTTCTATTGGGATAGACCGCACAGATGACATCCCGGTAAATACCAAAGGCCAGTACAAACTCGGGAATAGTCAGTTTCCTGTTTAGGCGGGCGTCCCTAGATCTGACAACAACAGACACATCATCATAAGCATAAGTCTTATTTTCTACAATATCCTGGGAGGCAATCAGCAGGGAAGCTAGGATGACGTCTTTACCTTCCTGGATATCTCTTTTTATGTGCTCAGGGATCATATGAGCAGGGTTAACTTCCTGGTCATCCGAGGTGATGGTTGGAGGAACTAATAGCAAGTCGGCTGGTGCTTGTGAAGCAGCAGCGGGTGGCCCTGCTAGAGTAAGGGCCGTGTTGACCGACTCAAGTTTCTCCAACCTGGAGTTGACCTTGCTCATGGACGTCATGAGTCAGGATAACATGGAATGTATGTCTCCTGGGTTGGACTGGCTAGGTCCTTCACCGGGATCCATGTTATTTGATGTACGTAGTAGTTTGAAAAGTTCTGCTTTCCTTGCTGTAGCGGGGTAGGGGATTTGTCATCTCCTTAATTCGGTAGTTATACGAGGGATCGTCCAGGATCTGATTGATGCCGGACTCCTTGTGTAGGAGTGATAGCTCTAGCCGGAGTGCTAGGCAGGGAGAAATCCTCTACCCCTTCCTGAGACATACTATAACCAAAACAATTAATTAGTGTATGAAAAACCACACAAAATTGTACTGGCAGGCTAGCTAAGCCGGATGGCGAAACATTACACTTGTTTGGTGACAGGTGAGGCCCTACTAGTTGCCAAGTGGCTTGAGAGGCTCTATCTATGTGTTGGCGCGAGTGGATTTGAGGCCACCCATCGCAGTGGCAGGAATTTTAGGCCTCTCGTTGACTGTAACATAGAAAACAGGGAAAGGGAGTGACAGGTGAGGCCCTCTCTATGTAACATGCAAGGCGGCTAGCTAACGTGTGGCCCGATGGGTTATTGCCTCTGAAACGTTGAGGCGGGGTGTTGGCCTCGCGGGACCACTAATTGATGGCAATGCCAAGAGGGGTAAATACCTATTGGGAAGCCTATTATCCTATTGCCAGTACTCTAACCTAGGGGGGAAGAAATGAAATGTCTGGCAGAATACCATATGAGCAGGT